CAGAGATACACTCACTTTTTGCTTATTGGTGACTTTAATTTGCATGTGTGTTGTCAGGAGAAGCCCTTAGTGAAGGACTTTCTGGATTTATTGGACTCTTTTGGCTTAGCTCAGCAGGTGAGCGGCCCCACCCAGGAACATGGTCACATGCTGGACCTCGTTTTAACACGCGATGTCTCTGTTTCTAATTTGAAAATCGGTGACAATGTTTTTTCAGATCACATGCCTGTATTGTTTGACCTCACCCCCCCCTTTTCCTACTGCTAAGACGTGCGTTCCTGCACGTACGCCTTCCATTAACCATTTCACTGCTGCTCGTTTTAATGAAGGTTTTAATTCTGAGAGGATCAAACAGTTCCCGGTGTCTCTTACCACTGAGGAGCTAACCTCTCAGTTCAACTCTGCCTGTTTAAATGTTCTGGACCGTGTTGCTCCCCTTAAGACCAGAAAAAACGAAACTTAAATCAGAGCCTTGGCTGAATGACGTCACGCGAGCCGTTAGGCAGCAGTGTCGCAGAGCTGAACGAAGGTGGAGGAAGGACAGGCTGAGGATCTTGTGGTCGACACCATCGACCACAAGATCCTCATTTCTAGACTGGAGCAGTGGGTGGGCATCACAGGGTCAGCCCTTAAATGGTTTGGGTCCTACCTCTCTGACAGAACCTTCTGTGTCAATATCAAAGATTTTAGTTCGGCATCGACAGCGCTCCAGTGGGGGGTACCACAGGGGTCCATCCTCGGTCCCCTTCTCTTTTCTTTATACCTGCTGCCACTAGGTGCTATCTTCCGCAAACACGACATACCCTTTCATTTCTACGCCGATGATTGCCAAATTTACTTCCCCCTGAGGCACAGAGGCACACGCTCTATTCAGCCTCTTCTTGACTGCCTGGCTGACACCCGGGACTGGATGGCTTTAAACTTCTTAAGCTTCAATGAGAAGAAGTCTGAAGTCATGCTGTTCCATCCCAGTGGCTCACTCATGAACCATGACATTGACCTTTTCTCTCTAGCCCCGCTAGAGAAACAAAAGGTCACTAATCTGGGGGTGATAATGGACCCGTCCTTAAAACTCAACAGTCACGTAAACATGATGGTCAAATCCTGTTTTTTTCAGCTGAGACGGCTGTCTAAGCTGAAGCCTATACTCAACAAAAAGAACCTCGAGACAGTGATCCACGCCTTCATAACATCTAGGCTTGATTACTGCAATTCACTTCTGTTTGGAATCAGTCAGTCCTCCATTGCTCGTCTACAACTGGTCCAAAATGCTGCAGCCCGATTTTTAACTGGTACAGGCTATAGAGAGCACATCACGCCAGTTTTGGCCTCCCTGCACTGGCTACCCATTCACCTTCGGATCCATTTCAAAATTCTCATGTATGTTTTTAAATCACTGAACAGTTCCGCCCCATCCTATCTCACTGATCTTCTGCAGCCATATGTCCCACCGCGCTCTCTGAGGTCAGCAGACCAGATGCTTCTCTCAGTCCCAGAAACCCGTCGTAAGCTCAGGGGTGACAGGGCTTTCTCTGTTGCAGGTCCACGACTGTGGAATGAGTTGCCACTGAGTGTCTGGCAGGCTCCCACACTCTCAGTCTTTAAGTCTCGCTTGAAGACCCACTTCTATTCTCTTGCCTTTAACACGGTGTGATTTCCAAAAAAGTTCAATCTGGTCCTCTGGACATTCAAAAAAAACAAAA